GCAGTATGTGTGTGGTGTGCACTGTGTGTGGGGCATGTGTGTGTGTGTGTCACTTGCACCATGTGTATGGTGTGTGTGTGGCATGCACTCTGTGTGTGGTGTACAAGGCAGTGTGTGTGTGGTGTGCACTGTGTGTGGGGCGTGTGTGTGTGTGGTACGTGTGGTATTGATATGGTTTGGCTGTGCCCCCACCCAAATCTCATCTTGCATTGTATCTCCCAGAATTCTCACATGTTGTGGGAGGGACCCAGGGGGCGGTAACTGAATCATGGGGCTGGTCTTTCCCGTGCTGTTCTCGTGATAGTGAATAAGTCTCACGAGATCTGATGGGTTTATCAGGGATTTTCATTTTGCTTCTTCCTCATTTTCTCTTGCTGCTGTAATGTAGGAAATGCCTTTCACCTCCTGCCATAATTCTGAGGCCTCCCAGCCACGTGGAACTGTAAGTCCAAGTAAACCTCTTTTCCTTCCCAGTCTCAAGTATGTCTTTATCAGTAGTGTGAAAACAGACTAATACAGGCACGCACTCTGTGTGTGGTGTGTGCAGGGTGTATGTGTGGTGTGTGTGGAGTGCACTGTGTGGTGTGTGGGGGGTATGTGTGTGTGGTGTGTGGCGTACATCCATCGTGCGTGTGGTGTGTGGCGTGCACTGTGTGTGTGGTGCACACCGTGTGTGTGTGGTGTATGCAGTGTGTTCAGGGTGCATGTGTGTGGTCTGTGTGGCATGCACTGTGCGGTGTGCATAGTGTGTAAAGGGCGCGTGTGTGTGGTGTGTGTAGTGTGTGCAGGGTGCATGTGTGTGTGGGTATGTGGTGTGTGTGGCATGCACTGTGTGGTGTGTATAGTGTGTGCGGGGTGTGTGTGTGTGGTTTGTGTGCATGCACCGTGTGTGTGGTGTTCTGGTCAGTGTGCCTGTACCTGCTGTATTGCTGCTGCTGCCCTTCCAGGCGCCTGCACCCGGTTTCCTCATCCCCTCCTCCCCCCAGGGACACCTCAAGCCCTGTGGAGCCCTCAGTGGGCAGGGGGACAGTGGGGACAATGGAAGGACCTGGACAGCAGCAGAGGGACCTGGGGGCTGCCGTAGGCGGGGACTTACCAGCCCTGGAGAGAATGACTGCATCAAGAGGGATTCAGGGGGTGTCTGGAGCCCTGAGCAGGAGCCCTAGGCAGGACCCTTGGCTGGGGACACTCCTCCTTGCCTTCGGGGGTGCCTTGGGGTCTGGGCTTCCACTCTGCCTTCTGAGTCTGCCTCGGCTGGGAAGGCTCCTGGTCCACAAGCCAGCGGGCTGAGACAGAGATTTATTCCTGCAGCTCTGGAGGCCAGAAGTCCAAAATCAAGATGTAGCGCTGGTCACAGGAGGCTGTGCGGAGGGTAATGCTACGGCGTCTCTCCCGGCTCCTGGCCAGCCTCCTGATCTTCCTGATCTTGGCTTTCGAAGGCATCCCCTGGCGCTCTCTGCCTCACCTTCACAGGACTTCTCCCTGTGCCTGTCTGTGTCCAGGCTTCCCCTTCTATAAGGACACAGTCCTATTGGATCAGGGCCCACTCTAATCACCTCTTCTTCACTAATTATCCAGCAAACCCCTATTTCCATGTTAAGTCATGTTCTGAGGTTAGGATTTCAATACCTGAATTTTAGGGGGCATAGTTCAGCCCAAGGGACCTGGGGGGGACAGAAACACAGAAAAGGCCACAGGTCAGCGCCTGGAGCCCACCTGACTCTGGGACATTGCTTGGCGGAGTTTATCCTCATAAATGCTGACGTGTGCTAGAAGACACAATATTGGTTTCATAAACAACAGTATTTTTTTTTTTTTGCAAAGCGATACCCACAGGTCTTATTGCCACTTTTCAGGCGCTGCAGCAGCCTAGTCAGATGACAACTGGGTGAGAACTTGGTCTCGAGTGTTTCCTGTATGAGGCCGGGAATATTGCTCTGATTCCTCAGGGGCAACTCAGCACTCCAGTGGGGAAATATGGGCCCTCATTTGCATTCCTAATTGAATTGCTATCAGCTTTCCTGCAAGACTGCACCAAGGAACAGTTCCTTCCAGATTCACTTTGCCTGCATTGCCCACAGAAAGGCTGCTTTAAATAGTTTGCTAAGAGAGGGAGGACAAAAAAGGGAGAAAAGATTGCAAAATTGTTGTAGTTCATCTAACTGTAAAGCTGTCAGTTTTACTAACTCCACAAATTGCTAAAATAATGGAGCGGATGATGCTGCACTTGAAGAAACCTCTACATAAGAGAAATGAAATTCACAGAACCAGAAGTCGAAGTCCCCATGTGCCTGCCCTGGCAGAATTTGCTTCAGGCTCTCATCGCGCCTGCCCTGGGGACTCCTAGCACTCTATGTAAACTGATGCTTTGAAGGAGTGTTGTTTCTCCAGAAACTATCAGCAGAACTCTTGCTCACCGTGCCCCATCGAGAACTCCACCTTCTCAAACACAGTCAGATAGCCCTCTGCATGCATTTGTTTTAAAAAAACTAGAATTGTGAGTGATAGTATAAGCACCACAGCATACAGAGCATCAGCTAAATAAATGATGGCAGAATGAAGCCACCTGTCTTGCCACAGGCTCCTCCAACCCTCTGGTGTCCCTAGCATGGCTGCTGCTTGCCCCGAAGAACCATAACCGACTGTAACTGGCCTCAGTGTCCCGAATTTGGATTTCCTGGGGTGTGGTCACTAGGCTGGCCACGTGTTCTCGCCTGGCACTGCCTGCATTTCCCTTTCCTTAGTCTATTTGCTTGAGATTCGCTGGCTTTGTTGCTTCTGGCACACGGATTTTGTTCACCTTTATTACTGTATAATATTCCACTTTGGAGCCACTGCAATTTATTGACATTCCAATGTGGCGAGCATGTGTTGTTCCAGCTTTTTGAGGCGGATTATGTTGTAAAAGGCTTCCTCTCAACGTCCTGTGCGAGTTTATGGTATTACCTGCCTATACTGCTATGGGCATCACAAAAAACGCAGCATATATATATATATTTGACTTTCATAGTAATTCTGAATTGCTGTCTGAAGTGTTTGTGCTATTGTACCTCCCATCAGAGTATATGAAAGGCCAGGCAGGGTGGCTCACACGTGTAATCCCAGCACTTTGGGAGGCCAAGGTGGGAGGACTGCTTGGGCAGGCGTATGAGACCAACCTGGGCAACATGGGTGAGACCTTGTCTCTACAAAGTTTAAAAATAATATCCACACAACCAACCAGCCCAGGGGTGATGATGCATGTGATCCCAGCTACTCCAGAGGCTGGGAGTAGGAGGATTGCTCGTGCCCAGGAGTTTGAGACATGATAAGCTAGGGTGCCACTGTGCTCCAGCTTGGAGGCCACAGGTGAGATCCTGTCTCAAAATAAAAACACACAAGTGAAAAACAGTATTTGAAATTCCACTTGCTCGATTCTCACAATACTTAGTAGTACAAGTCTTTCCAGTTTTGCCATTACAGTTGCCCTGCTGAGAGTTGAGCCAGTCTTATTTATTTATTTTTGAGACAGAAGTCTTGCTTTATCATAGACTGGAGTACAGTGCCATGATCTTGGCTCACTGCAACCTCCGCCTCCTGGGTTCAAGTGATTCTCCTGCAGCCAGCCTCCCAAGTGGCTGGGACTACAGGCGCCCGCCACCACACCACCGGCTAATTTGTATTTAGGAGATGAGGTTTTACCATGTTGGCCAGGGTGATGTTGAACTCCTGACCTCAAATGATCCTCCTGCCTTGGCCTCCCAAAGTGTTGGGATTACAGGGAGTGAACCACGTGCTCGGCCTCTGTCTTACATTTATCCACCATGGCCTTTTCTGTCTGGTGATCCAACAGCCTATTTAAGCCTCTCATCCATCTTCTGTCTGCTGTCTGTAGGTAGTGATCTGAGGGTTCTCATATTTCTGGGTGTGAGTCCTCGGTTCATAACTAGAGTGCTGCAAATGTCCTTTCCAGGCTCTGCCTTATTGTCTCATTTTAAGATATATGTTTTGATGATCAAGTTCTTTGTTTGACAATCTTTTGCTCTATTTTGCCCAGGCTGGAGTGCAGTGGCGTGATCTCGGCTAACTGTAGCCTCCACCTCCCAGGCTCAAGCAATTCTCCTGTTTCAGCCTCCCGAGTAGCTGGGATTACAGGCGTGCACCACCATGCCTCGCTAATTTTTGTATTTTTAGTGGAGACAGGGTTTCACCATGTTAGCGAAGCTGGTCTTGAACTCTGACCTTAGAGTGATCTGCACACCTTGGCCTCCCAAAGTGCTGGAATTACAGGCATAAACACTCACCTAGCAGAAGTCCTTATTTTTAATAAAGTCCAGAATCATTCTTTCCCATGTTTCGTGCTTCCTGTTACCATGTCGCAGAAGCTTTCCACACCGAGGTCACATCCTCCCAGCACCATGCATACCTTTCATCTTCGAATTTCCGTCTACCTCAAATGGATTTTGGGTGTGGTGTGAGGTAGGGGTCATTTTACTTTTTTTCTTTCAAGATGCCCCATTGGCCCAGCACCATATGTTGAAAAGACAGTCTTTCCTCCATTGTTTCAGTAGAAATGGGCAAACTTTCCCCCAGATGGCCAGATCGTTAAATATTTTCGAGTATCTCAGGCTAAGAGCAAAATTGAGACATTGTATAAGTGCCACATAACCCTTTAAAATGGAATCATTTAAAAATGTAAAAACCATTCTTAGCTTGCTGTACCAAAAGTCCTGTGAGCTACAGCAGCTGATACCTGCTCTACAGTACTGCTCTTATAATAAAAAATCAAGGAGTCCCACACCACAGGCATTTGACAAGGCTTATCAGATTGTAAAAAGATGAACTGGGTGGATTTTTGTAGTATAAAGTTATACATCCATGAAGCTGATTTTTAAAACATTACATACATATCTTTTCTGAGGCTCCTATTTTTATTCCAGTGTCTATCCAATCGTCTTTTGCTCCAAAGGCAATACCATTTTAATGGCTGTAATTCAGTGGTTCTCAAAGGGCAGTCTTGACCCCAAAGGGAACATTTGGCAGTGGCTGGAAAGAGCACGGGTTGCATATGAAGATTATGGGCTTCATCTGGCATCTAGCAGGTGGGAAGCCAGGAGTGTGGCTTACTATCCTGTAGCACACAGGACAGCTCCAACAACGTGTCTGGAAGGACCTGTCCTCCATCTTTTTCTTATTCCTAGAGCTACCTTTGCCTTTTCCATTTCCATTAAAAAATTTTAAGTCGGCTCTTTACTCTTCCCAAAACGAGCAAACAAAAAATCTGCTGGAATTTTTATTGAGGTTGTCATTGACTCTATATGGCAACTTTGGGTAGAATCAATATTCTAACACTGTGCCCCAAGTTATGAGCTCAGCATATCCTTCCATTTTTATAGGTCTTCAATTTTTCAACAAAATGCAAAAGTCTTGTACATTTTTGTTAGATTTATTCCCAGTTATATG